AACTCTGTCTTTCATTGACATCCACAACTCTTTTTGCAGCTCATTCCTATCAAGTACTGAAGCGTGGCTCAGCACTGAGAGAAGGAACGAAAGAGAGAGGTATGGCCTTCATAGCATGGCTATATACAACTCTGTCTTTCATTGACATCCACAACTCTTTTTTGCAGCTCATTCCTATCAAGGACTGGAGCGTGGCTCAGCACTGAGAGAAGGAACGAAAGAGAGAGGTATGGCCTTCATAGCATGGCTATATACAACTCTGTCTTTCATTGACATCCACAACTCTTTTTTGCAGCTCATTCCTATCAAGGACTGGAGCGTGGCTCAGCACTGAGAGAAGGAACGAAAGAGAGAGGTATGGCTCTCATTGCATGGCTACAGCTTTATCTCATATCACGACATAATCATATTTGCCTGCTATGAATATCCTATGATGACTTTCACAATACGTTGAAGTAGTAGATAGCACGCGAGAGTTGATACACACCCTCCGTTGTGACTTCTTGTGTCTCCAAGGTACACAGAGCGAGCGGACCCGGTCGAGGTAAGCCTGTGCAAATTTGCATATTGGCTTGTTCACTTGCTTTTCACGCCATAACTTCTGAACGCAGTAGTTATACGAAAATCGTCTTTTTAAAATGAAGCCAGTGTAGCGATGGGATCGATGGGAAGCCGCACAAGTGACCCGCCCCCAGTATAACCGCTAGATAAACTCACGAACTATCTATGCACGTAGAACGTATTCAACGCATGCGCGACATCCACTGCCCACAAATATTCGCGATATTTCAATTGTGACCCAACCTTGCGTAAACAGTTTTGACTCCGGCGGCAAGGTGAACGCGAACTGACTTTAGGTATATACACCCCAAATAAAAAGTGTGTGTATATACCCAAATAAAAACTGGGTACCAAAATAAAAAAGTGTGTGTTTATACAGAATGAGAACTGGGTACCCAAATAAAGAGTGTGTTTAGAGTGAGCTAGGTTCGAATTGACCAATCAGATTGCAAAGCCTAGGTTTACTATTTCCCGTAGTAAACCTCGACGGGGTTTACTATATAGTAAACCTACAGAAACTACAAAACCTACAGATAAAACAGGAAAACATAACAAAATGTACATGTAAACAACAAGATCAACAACTAAATCTACATTGACGCGTCGTCCACGCGCACGCGCAGACCCCCCTGCGCGCAACCAGAAAAAGAAGGCGGAGTCGCTACCGCGTGTCTCTGCCGCTTCGCTCTTCTTGCACTGCGCTCTGAGCCTGTCTCCATCGCGCTCCGCCATACGAACGAACAGGAAAGCCAGAGCGCTCAACGTGAAGCGCTCACTCTAAAATAGTTAGACGCTGATTCCTCGGTAACCACGCACCGGTAGAAAAGCCTCGTGCCCCGGGGGTAGCGCCCTCGCTGCGCTCGGGGCGCCACAATTCCGGGGCTCTCGGCTTTCTACTGCGCGTAGTAACCTCGAATCAGCGTCTAACTATTATGTACCAGAATGAGAACTAGGTACACCCAAATAAAAAAGTGTGTGTATATACCCAAATGAAAACTGGGTACCAAACGTGTGTACCCAAATGCACGTAGTGCGACTATCTTATTTAAAATATTTTTGTAGCTCTGAAGCTGCAGGTATCACTCATACGCCGCCTCGTGGCCTGTAGTGCGAGAACTCGCGTGGACAGACAGACAGACAGACAGACACACCAAGTACCCCTCGCTGCACATGCACACCGAGGGTTAACACCTCTGCTCCAAGCTTGGTAGAAGTTGAGTCCCCTAAACATAGTATGTTCTATATTCAACACATTGGTATTCATTCACACTGTGTCCTTCGCCACTCTATTTTTCCCAGCAGGAAACCTAATGACTACGCCAAAGCTACTTGGCTACCAACAATTACTACCAACTGCCAACTACCAACAATTTGATACAACATCAGGTTAGTCTTTTCACTGCATTCTGGCTGGATTTAAAGTCGATCAATGCTATTTAGCTACTGAAGGAGAGAGAACTTTTGATGGATGTCTTCTTCCCGAATCTATGACTCTGTCGTCCACATTATCTGACTGCACTAGTGAGGGAAGAAAGTTCACAGACGAGGCCAATGACTTCAGTCTGGAGATCCCAGAGGGAGCCATTCCTGAGGGAGAGAGGCACACTGTCGACGTGGGAGTCGGTCTCTTTGGCACATTCCAATTCCCAGAAGGTCTGAGACCTGTGTCCCCCGTGTTCTGGGTCTGTGTCCGTGACCAGAAGAACTTCCAGTTCTCCAAACACGTCCCAGTCACCCTCCCTCACTTCCTTAATCTTGAAAATGATGACGACATCCAATCTCTGGGTCTTACATTTCTCAAAGCAGACCACAACATGAACTCTGAGGGACTGTATGAATTCAACCCAACAGATGGAGAGATGGACTTTCAAACTTTCAAATCGCATGGAATTCTTCGAACATTGCATTTCTGTTCCCTTTGTATTGCCACAAGAGACATACCAAAGAGCCTTGAGAAGGCATTGTTCTGCATTACTGCCGTTCTTCCAAAATTCTCAATACCAGTTGGCAAAAGTATTGATTTATACTTTCTAATCACTTTTTCTGAATTTAAAAACTTGCCTCAAGAAGGTAGGCGATATAATAGCAACAATGGAATTGGATGGACATAAGACAAAGCAGGTAAAATTTCAATTCAACACTAACACCAGAACTCCGGCGCTAGAGATGGTTATAACTCAACCAAAACACGGCAAAATTGGATTATCAGGAAACACAAAGGTTATATATAGTAATAGCTATACCTGATTGTGATTGTGAGAGCGATATTGCACTGATACAGGTGTTTCGCAGTGATGTGGATTTCTTTGTGAAAAGAAAGCTTTCAGAGGGAGAACTAAATACTCTGAAGAGTGATAAGTTCTACCCTCCACGATTTGAGGGCTATTTTGCTTCTTTCAGGGAGAATGCAACACTAGATGACTGCAAGATTGTCTTCAAAGGCGCCACCAGTGACATTGTGTACGACATACACCTTGATTGTCCTACTCCCATTCCTGCAATTAAAGGTAAACTGTCTTGCTCTTACAGCTTCTAAAATTCATGTTATTTTACAGAAGCAGTGGATATGAGTACACAGACTCAGAGCCAGCTCCTACTTGGTATGTGAGACACTTAGCTTTAAAATTGTGGGATCAAAGCTGCTTCTAGTTATGGTTCCCACTTGTATATAGTCTGAATGTGTTTGCCAATAACTGTGTAGCAGTTACAAAAACATTCATAGCTACATAGCTACATCGTACAGTGACAAGGAAACAGAGACTTGTGACCCGAGCCCTGATCCCACATCACATCTGTTCACAAGTCATACGTTCACACATTGTATCATGGTCAGTTGTGCCCCCTAAACCTACATCTACCATAGCCTATAAAAGTTATTTGACACTCTTGTAATTTGCCATCGCTCCAGAGATTTATTATTACACTCTGGGACTACTGCCGGCGAAGCCGCACAACGGCGAGATAGCCGCCACGCTACAACTGTATATACTTAGCCTCACAATCTCGCTTACCAAAGTTAACTGGCTCTCGCCCAACTTCAATAGATATCAACAGAGATCTCCACAAAGCCAAGAGGGGATCTGCAGCATCTGAGCAAACAAGAACTGAAGGAGCTATTTCTGGAACTGGGACTCTTTGATGCAACAGTTCGGGACAATTTCACAGACAGCAGTCGAGACACTTACGCAGAGGATCTCATTCGGGCATGGATACTAGGAAGAGATGGAATCATGACTAAAGAGGAGTACAAAGGAGGAGCAACGTGGGAAAACCTCAAGAAAGCTCTCAGGAACATTAATCATCCTGGAGTAGCTGCTGCAATATGACTTGCTGTACACGAAACATGTATATACTTGGTTCGAATCACCCATGTTGATCTCCCTTTTACCTCCATGTATATCTTGGTCATTAACCCTCGCTGCGCGCATGCGCATGATGCGGAATACTACCGAGCACAGCTGACAGAGCGCGCTTGCAAGTCCATGACGCATCATTTCCAGAGCACAGGCTCCCTGTCCATCGGCTCCCATATCAAGGGAGCCAAGTGACTCTGAACCGGGAGCTGAGGGCCTTCACTCCGGCTTCTCCGTTCCTTCTGCCCCTATCCCTTCACTCACAAGCCCCCCACATACACATCACATCAAAGTCAACTCTACTACAGAGCAACCCCACTCCTCTCCGCCATTTTCTCACTTGCTCCGCCAAACAATAAAAGGGTAACTGTACATACGATCTCTCGGAAACCCCACAGCCATGTCACCACGGGAGGGTCGACGTCCTTGCTATCTTCAACTGCACCCTGCAGAAGCACATCTCAGAGAACGGCCAGAGGAGAAATAGAGCGCCTGATACCACATTGTGACAGCAGTACACACCCAAGCTTTCTCCCTTGCCTCCTCGCAACTGGCCGATTTTCCATTTATTTATTATTTATGTTATTTCTATCTGGCGATGAGACACATACCGGTGTACCGTCGCTTCATTGTACGTATATATATACCTTTGTGTTTCCAGAGCGCTGGACGCGAAGACACCAAGAGGTTCAGTGCCGCTAAACCGCAAGCGACGTCTCTAGATCTGATGGAATCTCTTGAACAATACGGATATTTCTCACGAGAAAACGTCAAAGGACTACAGAAGAGTTGAGACGGCAAATCGCACAGACTTGGCGAAAGAGATGAAGAGAAAACTGTGCAAACCCGTCAAGAAAACCGCGAAATTCGACGGCAGTGCGTCACCTACCGTAGAAATCCGAGCAGCTCGAAGATTCCGGGCAGGTGACAGACGAGGAGAGAAGACGTGGGGAGAGAACACCGGCACCGTCGCTTCATTGTGGAAGAGGAGCCAGAGCGCTGCCTGGTCCTGGCCATAAAATTTCCCCGTCACCATCCGGTAGGGAGTCAACTCTATTGCAAAATTTCAACTCCCAAGGGAACATACGTACGTATATCTACACGTACCTAGCGTTATTATACCTTCCTTCGTTGCATGTTTCCAGAAACTGAAGTTACTGGATAGTTATGATGTACTGGGAATATTTCAGCATGTGTGTGTGCAGGTGTAAAAGGAGGAGGGCAGAAGAAGATTCCTCTCATGCCACTCTAGTCGGCTCAGAAGAAGGCACACAAGAGACGGACTCACAATCAAACGATGGCAGTCAGACAACAGCTGGTGGACGCTGAGGCACAGCAATCACCAGTGAAAGGAACTACCTATCCTCCCTCCAAACCTGGTGAGACTCATGATAGCTTCGTATCTCTCACTTTTTCGCTATGTATTAAGTATTAGCTATAGCATACCAAAACCATTATGCTCTTTCAAATTATACATTAATTAGCATAAGCATAACATAGGATAAACAATGTGAAGTTACAGTTAGGATAGTAAGGTTGTTGACAAATGTATGGGATTAGGATTTGTTGACTATGTGGTGTAATGGGTAAGCAACCATAGAGTAAACAATGTGCACAAAACAGCTGATGTACTGCACTCATACATGTCTGTGTACAATGTTGTAGAGATGCACTAGATTGTTAGTTTTACCAAGTATGGTCGATGCATGAGCTGAGGGTCATGATGCCTTCATTTTGCCAGTATGCTAACTGTTATTATGTGCTGTCTGCGGGACCGGTACTATTATGATAGTAGTGGGGTGTGTCTGTGGCTTGCACTCTAAGGTTGTGTGTAAAATGCTAAGTCAGATTGTCTCTGGATTTATCACCCAAGCTATTAAACTTTTAACTCTCCACTATAGCTCCTCCCCTCTCACCACCTAAGACCAGGAGACACTGGGGAGAAGACAGAACTGGGGACTCTAGACATTGGTATGTGGAGTGGCTCTACCTAGCACATGTCACTGAATGGACAACGCACATGACACCCACCAGCAGGTTACAGCACACTTTTATGCGCTCATGCGGAACAGTATTGCTATTACTTTCTCTAGGGTGCGCCTGCCTACTGGGACGCTGGCCTGCTACTACTTAGCTTAGGCTAGCTATGCTTGGCTATTGTGATGAGGTCGGTGTAGTATATACTCAGTACCAGCATCTCGATGTCATTGATGGTAAGCTCAGAGTTCAAACTGAGGATTTCTATATAATTTTGTTTTTCCAGATCACGTGGTCTAGTATACAACTCCTAAGAGAACAAAGAAATACTTGACTGTAGGTCTTTACGTGCTGTTGATCGCACGGTTTTTCCCATGTCTGTTAAGTCGCATGCGCACTCTTCAGGCGCCGGCTAGCGCGCTTCAGCGCGCCTGACTGTAGAAACTGCATTGCTTCGCATTCCATAGTTCACTCCCTCACGCACAAACTAAAGCTGTACTTTTGCGCTCGACACTGCATTCCAAAACGCAAACTTCCCCACGGAAATGTCGGACTCAACGCATGAGTACAGAGCCTTCTATAGGCTCTGTGTCGAAGATGCTTGAGGCGGAGAGTCTCGAACACTGGCGACATCTGGCTGGGAGGCAAACCCGACGTCAGCGTCTACGAGCCTGCCGAAGAAAAAAAGGTCGCTTGGAATTTGAAAATTTTATTGCTTGGACTGATCAGGAATTCCTTTCATGGACCGACCTTAGGATGTCTGAAGGAAGCTCTTGGAAGAGCGCCGTCGAGCGGAAAAAGATTTGGTCAACATGGGTGGAATCGTTCATAAAACCAAGGGAAAGCTTGCTACAAGAGGTACACAAAAAGAAAAGGGCCGAACGAAAGCACCAAGAAGAGAGGAGGAGGGAGGAGCGCAAAACAGGTTGCAGCTCACTTACGAGAATCCGTCACGCGGGTTGGACTGAGACGACAACATATTGGCTGCGGGCGAGTCCTGCGGAAGGAGGGACCGTGCTGGTACGGTGGAGTCGCGTTCGTTCGGGGCTGTGCGAGGCTTGACGAATCTTTAGCGCAAAAACTCGCCTAGCTGACAGAGTCTGAAACATTTGGCTCGCCGCTCACGTGCCGACAGTCCTACTAGCTCCAGAAGCGACGAGAGCAACGGCAGCAGTCGACGCAATCAGCCGTATCCTCGTTGCCGTTGTCTTGACATCCATCTACGGGATTTTGGTAAGTTTTTGTTGCAGCGTTGGTCTATGTTCCCCCATCGGGCACCAGTTCGACGTGTGTTGATTAAGAGTACGCATGTAAGACCCTTGTGAAGGCCGTATACTTAGCTTTTCTTCTTTCTGTTTTGTTTGGTTCTCTACATGAGCTGGAGTTTAGCTACATGGTGTTAATTATATTTTTAGCCCCAGACATCGGAGTTGTGCCCACCCGCGCAAGTAACACACCCAACTACCTAGTGTACAAAATTCCGTAAGACGCACCAATTCCCCATATGAAAACCTGCTCTCTCAAAAACTCCACCTGGTTACACTCTAGCCAGTTCAAGACACCTCCCCTCTGCGTCCTGCGCGCTTGCCCCGGCCATCGTCCTTTCTTCCCCTCCGAGTGAGTCTTAACTCCCCTTCTCGTATGCGTCATTCAGTTCCACAGGTAGTGCGTCCCCCCTCGCGATACGTCCCCAATTTTTCCAATCCCCCGTCAGGCCTCTTCTCATCTCCCGCCCTAATCTTATTTGCTGTCCTCTGACTATCTTTACTGAATTCAGGTTTTACCCTCCGTTCGTGGCACCCTCACTGTAGTCACAGTTACTCTCCACCCTATACACCGTTCCCGTACCACCCCGCAAGTTCCTACTTCCATCTGCTTAGATCCTGCACTATCCTATGGCTCTCACCCATGCCAATTGGACCCCCCTCCCCTCAAACAAGCACCACGGAACAGATGATTGTACGGAGACAGTGATTGGTACTGGGTATGGTAGTGCCAAAATATTGTGATGTTGACGATTGAAACGTGGAATTACGAAACCCCACCCGTGCCTGGTAAAGACAATAATAATACACTCAAGATCACAAACAAAGCAGCTTAAATTGTTGAAGTTTGTTTTACAGGAAAAAACCAGCATCAAGGAGAGTTCCGTGGAAGGGCTGACTGGACAGGAAGTGTTGAGAGTTTTGCCCTATAGATTATTAAGCATTGGGTGTTTGTGGTGCTGTACTGTGTCCAGCGAGACGATTTGTCTCAGATCCTACATTGATAAAGGGAGGAATTTGATACAGTGACTGAGAGAGAGGAATCTGAAGATGGGAGAGAGGTGATGGCACTTTCATGGCATGTGTTTAAATGCTAGTGCGCTTGGTCTTTCATGATTGACATCGACCGACGTCGTTTTTTGCTAGTTGATTCCTATCAAGGTGACTGCAAGCATAGGTCTCTTTCTCGTTCTCGCTAAAAGACTGTTTTTGTGTTCGTCTGTGTTTTTGTCTGGGTTAGATGTCGAAGGTACAGTTCAGTTTTGTATGTTCATATTGGTTTTTTTTTTGTTTTCGATGTTATAGTCACACCAGGATTGTAAGCGCCGCTCCTAACTTTAAGCTCGTTCAGCACTGCTGAGCGTACACTTGCGCATTGCGCTATATTTGCGCCGCGCGGACGCGCGTGGGTTTTGTTGCGCGCGCGAAAGTCGTAGAGACAGGAGGTCAGGTATACTGCAGAGCTGAGGGAGAAACCCAGGGGACAACCCTTCACCTACCACTTGCACCCGCGGCGCGAGCTGTCACCGTGGCTGCGGTCTCGATGCGCAATCTCTTCTTATACGGACCTCTCCGTCGCTAAAAAATGTTTCAATGCATGTTGTTCTCTCCACTTACATTTTTTAAAACAGTGCTGCCTAGGGACTAAAGAGTGTCCGACATTTTGGTGGATTGCCCTCGCTAGCGGCGTGGAGTTTCATGAGATTTTCATTTGCTGTCTTGTTGGTCGAATGAGGTTGGCGGCAAGAAGAATAGTGTTACCGAAGGTGGGCGTTACGTTATGGTTGCCAGAAACGGGGAGATGTCGACCTATTTCGCCGGTCAATGCAAGCCAAGGCCTGCGACTTGAAGCTGTTCTGCAAATTAAGTTTATTGCATGCTCGGGAGTATTTTTTCCAGAAAAGACTCCTAGCGGTATCTGCGGGACATTAGGCAACAGATGGATCAAACCGATTCCGATTTTAGCTAGTATAAGAATGTGGATGCTTTTACGAAGGACGCATTCGAAAATGAAGAGGAGAACCAGTGAAAAGATAGTGTCTGCAGAGAAGAAAGCAAGCGAGAGCGGCAATGGAATTAGAGAGATATCTTTTGAGTCAATGGTGGTGCAAATGGCTGTTTTAGAGCGTCATATCAATTCTCCTTGCATAATGAACTACTTTTGCCAACTAGAAAACCGCTCTGAAACTACATTGGACGAAGGTACTTGGAAATAATTTCGACACATTCCAAGTGAGATTGCACGAACCTGGCTTAAAAGCTGAGGCCAGGTTCAGAAAAGACTATTGCAACAGGGTCTCGAACCAAACAGTTCAGCAAGTGGAAGCAGTGAACGGGAAGTAACAGCAGACCCAGCAGTGGTGGGAGGTTTTCACAATTGGAAGTCAGCTCCATGTCAAGCGATGCTGTTAACTAGGTATTTGCCGTGTATGCAAGTACTGTTTATTTAGGAACTGAGAAAAATCGATAATCAATCCCCAGTGTAAAAGATCACATGTCATTAGTGTTATGCTCCTATGCCCCAGCAGATGTTTGTTGCTGCAGCCACCGCAATGATTTCCCATATGGTTGCAGGAGTCACATGAGTAAAGGGAGTTTAACCTAAAGTCCTAAGCCACGAACTCGTATTGGAGCGGTCATAACCCATCGCAGGAATCACAGGAACTCAGTTCATCATCCATTAGTATTGCACCTTCACATCACTGCCACGCACGTGAGTTCAGACTGAGTGCTCTGCAGTCCTATAAATAGCTGCCATCTTCTTCACGGTGGAAGGGATGCTTTGAGAAAAAAAACTTGGCTTTCCTCCTCAAGGGTTTCCAGGCTAATACTGTATCCTACTATAGCAGTCAGAGACGCTCATTGAGTACAAATTCCATAGGATGAATGAATGATGAACGTCAGGATGGTTTGTATAAATGTATTACACTATCTTTCGGGTTTTTATTTGGGGGGTTTATATTAATAGATCACAGCTCAAGTGACTACCCCAGAAGGAATAGGGAGAATACACTGCTCAGTTACCTCTTGTCCCAAGATGTCGGCGTTCTTCGCACATCCCTAAGACTCTCGGTTCCAATGAGAGTAAGTAATTGGAAGAACGATTGAAGGACGGAAGATAGCTGGGGTATGGACGTCCATGAGGGTTCTGGCAGTAGCCGTAACGCGCTAGGTGCGCGCGCACCCGTGACCTCGCAAGACCACAAGCACGCATCGAACTCGTCATCGCCGGGCGCGAAAAATAATACGCACACAAGCAATACCCATGCATACACTGCGGAAATCATGGACAGAGCGATCGCAATCTCTTACGGAAGGTTCTCAGCTCTTTTGCTCGTGAACTGGACGCTGAAGAAGTTGAGCAATGGTTTTCATTACCTCAGGATAGTGGAAATGCCCCGTCTCGACTGCATGCGAAAGGGCCGCTTTTCGCGTGTTGATGAAACTAGAGCGCCTTTCTAGTTTCTCGTTTGAGATCCCGCTGGTCTCGTCCAGATAGCCACGGACGCCGGACGGTTAGACTGGAAGAAAAAATTTGAACACTACATTGCTAGCCGTTGCAACCACTTCCGAAGAGAAAGGGAGGAAGTCGCACGCCGCTGCCGAGCAAAGAGCAGGAACAGTTGGAGGATGGCATAGGGAAGTTCGAGCAAGGTTTTTGCTGTTGAAGAGCAGTTCAGCAAACTATGGTCATGTGAAACTGTGACAAAGAAGATGGGTGAAACTCCTACGACGGGGGCAAAAAGTTAACGAAGGAAATCGAGTGTGAGCTGGGGAAAGGCATTGAAAAAGCTAAAAACGCTTACGAGAGACAGTGATAGTCTCAGCAGCAGTGGGAGTAGCAGTAGCATCGAACTCAGCACTAGCCCTGAAGCAAGCAGCAGTTTGACATGTAAGTGCAAGTAGCTATAATTATCTTGCATTCTTGATGGTTTCCTTTAATACAGCTCGAAGCAGAGGGGAACGAAACCGAGATGTCCCACTGCCTAAGCCTCGTAAACCAATGCCGCTACAAACAGAAGTACAAAGCAGCCGTTCAAGAGAAAACAAGACACAACCTCCCATGCTGAAACCCTCGAATAAAATAGAAGATTCATTGCAGGCACCTGACCAACCACGTATGTATCTCTGCACACAGAGCACATTCTTCCGTACACCTGCAAAGTGAACACGATAATGGGATTACCTATTTAGCTACAATTACCTTTTAAATTCCACAACCCTAATAAAGGGTGACTATAATATCAAATATCAAGCAATGCCTTCGAGCTATACACCCTGACACAGCTATATGGCTCTTGGTATCCACAGCCCCTGTGCCTCCCAAGAAGCAACACTCTCCTCGAATTTCTGGGACGAGACAGTCAGCGAGTGTCACAGATGTGCTTCAACAAGGCTTCAGTGTGCATACCTCAACAGAAGAAAGAAGAGAGTGGACGAGGAGGAGTCCAAGGAAGTGGCAGTGGAGGAAGGAGATCAGACTGGAGACAGTGGGCATGGAGAGTGGGTCTGGCTCTGTGCAACATGGAACTATCAGCCAATGGAGAGAAGCTATAAAGAAACCTCCACCAGGTGATAGTATAAGCTACCAGCACATGAAAACTGTTATCTGTTAATACAAAATTCAATGAGGTGTGACTGTTTTTTCTGCAGAACCTAAAAACTACCCACCAAAAGAAGGAGAGAAGATGGATGAATGTATGTTTTATCATCAAAAACGACCTGTAGCTATAATGGTCATAACATTTGTCTTAAGCAGATGACAGCTTTTTTTCTTCATCTCAGGTGTTTCAGAAACCAACAAACGATACACACATCTCAGGGAGGAAACAATAGATAGAGGTACTTAAATGCCTCTGATTATTAGAGTTTGGTCTTACATAGCGATTCTCTTATGCAGTGGGACCTTATGAAAAAGTGAACTATGGCTCTCCGTTGCCCTGAGCTGATCTCGTGTACTGTGTTGATTTAATGTGCATGTCTTCCTTATGAACCGATGGACTACATGAATGAAACCTAACAATCCCAGCAGTCATGATTTTATACTTACTGATGAACAACCTTTATAAAAGTCCAAACCCTCGGCGAAGTACGCATGCGCGGTGTCGCTAAATAAAAAAAATTAGGGCTAGGCCAGCTATTAGCGTTTACCCGCCGCTAGTAGCCCGCGGAGAGTCTGACACGGGCTAGCTACGGTATTAGATAGCATGTGGGAGTCGATAGACGCGCCTTCGCGGTGGCTTCTTGTGCCTCCAAGGTGATAGAGCAAGCGGATCAGATCGAGGTGAGGTAGCATCACGCGTTGATCGCGTCTAGTATACGCATGCGCACCGCTTATTGGTGGGTTGGGCCACGCAACGCGGTCCGTGACTGTGCCAGTTTGTCGCTCTCGAACGCAGTCGTTTCAGGGAAATCGCCCTTTTCTTTTTCAGGCTCGTGTAGTACAGGAATGAAACCTAACAATCCAAGCCGCTGGTATCGCTAATGGGCCGCCTCGTAGCCTGTAGTGCCAGAATAAGCGTCGAGTCGTCGACACACACACACACACAGACAAACCAACTACCGTAACCCTCGCTGCGCATGCGCGCCGAGGGTTAACTCACGCGTGTGCGCACAATATCTGCAGGAATCTTACGGGGTATCACGTGATCACGTCATTTCCGCGCGCGCGCGCGCGTCGTCAGAATTATAATGTATATACACCTGTATACGAAACTTTATACGATTACGTAATCCAGCACGCGCGGGGCGTGACACCGTAGCTATAAAGAGTAATGTGTTGCAAGAATCAATCCTACTTATTTCTTTATAGCCATGGCAGGCTATAACGTCAAAGACACGAAAGTATACACCCCGCAAGGTACTGCGCTGAAACTGGACCAACTGACGTCGCTTCTGTGTGCAGTGTGCGGATTCGTTCTCCGCGAGTCGATGCAGGTGACGCGCTGCGGACATCGCTTCTGTAAAGTCTGCATTGACAAAATGCTGAACACCAGGTTAGTCTGACTCCTTTTAGTGCAATTAACGATATTCATAAATGCAGCGGTGACGACAATCTTATGTGCCCTGTTGATAAAGAACACTTCGAAAGAGCCGAAGTAAGTGTCTTCACTGTCTTGCAAGGCACATGAAGCATTAAAATATCAGAAAGTGTTGCTGTTTGATAGGTGAGGAAGGACAGAGGCTGTCAGAGGGAAATAGGTGCACTAGAAGTCGACTGTCCCACTCGGCCAGATCCCTGCTCCTGGAGAGGACCGCTGGTGGAGATTGAGGTATATAGATAACAATCCTCTTAGCTATGCAATACTCGCTTTCCCCTGCAATAAAACTCTTGCAGAAACGCACGAAATTTCCCACTAAGTCAACAAAAATTTATGCTGTGTCACACTATTGGCACATGATCAGCCACATCATTGCACCATCACCTTGAATTCAAAGCATAGCTTGTGACCTATACAAAATGAAGTAATAGGTATGTATAGTCCACTTAAACGGACTTAATCATTGCAGGTTCATCAGCTGAAATGTCCCAATGCTCTGGTCAGCTGTACACTCAACTGTGGTATGGACCTTGGAAGAGAGGAGATAGCTCTACATCTTACCAATGACTGTCCCAAGAGAGAAGTAGTTTGTCAGCATTGCAAAAAGGGATTTGCCTCAGATTCCATAGAAGTGAGTCAGCCTTTGTGGTTTTTGTTAGGGACAGTTCTGATGTTTTTACCTAAAAAGTACACAATTTGCCATTTTATAGTTGCAATAGGTCATTCATAAACTATTCATTGCGTCACAATAACAGAGCCATTTCATGGAATGTGAGGAATTTCCTGTGGCATGTGAATATTGTCAGCTGATCATGCCAAACCGGAAGTCTGTAAGTCTACACAGGTCTTGTATTAGCAACATACATTTTGATGACGTGTATAATATGTCTCTATACTTTCAGATACAGAAACACCTTCAGAATGAGTGTCAAAGGTATGATGAGATGAAGTGTCCTATGAACTGCCCCAAGGACTTCAAGGTAGCTATAAATAGAACCCATCAATGATATGGTGTGATCTCTTGTACTTCAGGGCGACCGAGAAAGCGTAAACAGCCACTTGAAAGACCACCTGTTGGACATGTCACGACTTCTCAACACAGCTCTGTCTCGTATTGAGGCTCTTGAAACAAAAATCACTCAGGTGTTGGAAGAATCTAACAGAGAACGTGTTGAAATGCGCATGGAAATTACCGAACTCAAAAAAGCAATGAGAAATGGACAAACCACAAATACCGAAAAGTCCCCAACAGCCAAGCTAGTAGCAAAGAACGAAAGTACAAATGGAAGTGTAAGTGCTTCAAATTCACTCCAGCCTTTGTCAGTCTCATCTGTCAAGAATTATGCACACAACTCGGGAGTCACTAGATGGGAAGAACCGAAGACTGTGCGGAGAGAGGACGCAGGAATGAAAGAGGAAATACGATCACAGGAGACTCGACTCATGAAAATGAGCGAAACACTGCAGACAGTGCAGAGCAACCTAACACAGCATTCGATAGCAATTGATGAGGTTCGTCTACGGCAGGATATACTAGATGTCAAGGTCACCAACGGAGTATTGATTTGGAAGATTCCTGATCTCCGGAGGAGATACCGAGATGCGATTGATCGACGTACCATCAGTCTTTATTCTCCTCCGTTTTACACCAGTCCTCACGGCTACCGAATGTGCATCCGTACCTACCTCAACGGAGATGGAATTGGCAAAGGCACGCATATTTCCATGTTTTTCGTCATCATGCGCTCGGAGCACGACAACCTTCTCCCCTGGCCATTCAAGCAGTCAGTTCGCTTCACACTCATCAACCAGAAAAACCCAGGAGCCAGTGTCTCAGAGGCATTTGTTCCCGACATCAAGAGCTCTTCCTTTCAGAAGCCAGAAAATGATATGAATCTGGCCAGTGGATTCCCCAAGTTTGCTCGCCAGTCGGTACTGCAGGACGAGCAGTTCACATTAGGGAATATGATTTACATCAAATGCCAGGTAGATATCACTGGACTCAAACTAGATTGAAACAATTGCTAGGCAATCCATTGATAAAAGATCACCAATACCTTCATAGAATAATAATTATTTAATCATTGACTGTTGTATTTGCACATAATATTTGTCTTGTATCATCGACGACTGCATGCTCAGCATGTTTCAGCGTACACTCACGTGATATGAGACGGAAATATGCGCATGCGTATGTTTCATTACACCGACCGGACGCCAGTTCTGAATCAGATAATACAACTTGTTTTTGTGGTGTAAAGCGATAAGATTCTTGGTGAGTTTTAAATGTCGATCAATGTGTACAATGTGTACGTACGCGTTCACTCTGTTCTTCGCGCTGCACTCGCGATCATCGTGGTATTGTGATTTCGATATAGGAATTTGTTTACCACGATCTATTTTAGTATGGAAGTTGCACTGACGCTCTTTGCCGTTTTAGTCAGTTCGTGTTGGGCTGAGCTAAGTGACTCGAAATGGCTGATGGTCAAACGGGAAGGGCCCTAGCAAGTCATCGTTTTCGCGGTAGCGTAGCTAGGTCATGCAGCTACTATATACCATGATACGGTAATATGAAAGTGTCGGCAAACAACGGTTTCGTAACGGGACCGTAAGCGGAAAACTATTGCCACCTGCAAAGAGAAGGGGCACACACATGACGTAACAGAAATACCGAAGATAGCTATATACTCCCTTTCATTCTGCATTGGTGACTTTATTCCTCTCCCGTCAGCAGCATTATGACGACACGAATATCACTTTTGAGCGCAATGAAGGCCCTCAAGCCTCTTAATGTGGAGAATACCAAATCTCTGATGCTCCATGTTGGTGTCAATATCAATGATCTTGACGATATTCAGTTCACGCACCGTGATGCAAGCAATCAAAAAATGCATCTTATTCAGAAATGGTTGGAGATTGATGTCGATGCCAGCTGGGAAAGGCTTGTCGCAGCCCTTAGACAAATTGATATGCACACTTTTGCCGTTGAGATTGAGCTAAATAATTCGGAAGTCAAAGCGCTAGTCCCCATTCATGATTCATGTGATCCTGGTATCTCAAGCGCCACTTCATCCCTGGTGCTATCTGGCGAGGAGAATATTATCGAAAAGGTTAAGGAAAGGATCGAATATCTTGAAGATGAATTTTTCAAACTAAAAAGTGACATGCGAGTATCACTCTCCGACAGAGAAAAGCAAGATCGAACGTTTTTGGAAAGGTTCTGTGATTTTCTTCTTGATCTCCCTGTTGCCAAACGAGTTATACACGTAAAGTTTTTCCGAGAAAGCGAAGATGAAATTCTTGAAGCAAAAAATATCAGAAAGCTGTTTGCTATCCTTGGCCGTTACTGTAACTATTCGAACTATGAGATAATTGTGCATGTTATAAAGAAATATGGCGGTGTTGAAATAAAAGCAAGAATGATAAAGTATTGTGATTCAATAAAGAAATTTGAAGTAAGCACGATAGTGGCTATCTACTTGAAAGCCATTTCAGCTCACCCAGGTGGTGAAATCTGCAAAAGATTCGATCGAATGGCTGTGAAAATCAACAAGTCGATAAATGAATGCACCTTGCATGAGATCCGCCAACTGAAAGAGGCTATTGCTGAAAATGCATCCGTTCACTCGTATAGCATGTATATTGAAAGTGTTGCTGAGAGCTCTGTTCTGGTAGTGCTGCGTGTTCATTCCGCCTGTACAAAGCAGGTGTATGCAGCTATGACACCTGACTTCACCTACCTGTACAACCTGAATGATATAAAGATGACAGAGAATGGTAAAATACATTAACTCTTACTACTGTAGCTAGTAGGCGAGCGAGGCTAACCAACCCAGTCACACGGTTTTCGATACACAATGTTTTCCCATGGAATAATAATGTAAGAATGTAAGTGCTGGTTAAAATAGACAAAATGGAATTTATATGCTGCATTATGTTGTTATGCTCATCAAAAATGCACCCATTCATTGTAGTGTTTGTTTTTAAGGCCGGAGTGTTTGTTTGACAATAGTAGTATATATCTACACAACTTTTCTTACCAGCAGCGCAGAGTAGTTACAAATCTTTGGTTGGAAGTGAAGAGAGTGAAGCAGAGGAGGACCATCATGAAATAGAAGGTCATTCCCCACCATCAACACCAACTTGTGAGTTCAGTGTGAAAGCATTAATTTTACAATTGTTGGCATCCGTGTGCAGCCATGGCTTCTAATTTGGAATATTATTATAATTCCTCTGTCTGCTATATACATCATTTATACACAAGTTGGCATTGGCTTTCAACTATTTTTTCAAAGTTGAAGATGCTCAACCTCGGCTACTGGTCAGAAAGACAGAGGATGAAAAGAAGACTGTAACCGCAGCAATCTTTCGTGGCATAGGGACTGGACCAAGACAGCAAGTACCTCCCCATAATGGTATATAATACAAGCAAATGTATGTCGTAATTTCCTTCCTGTGATGAAATAATTGTGATATGCCATTGGTGGCCATGCGTTGGTTTTTAAGGTTTTTTCCAATTCACACACCATCAGTCAGGATGACAGAAGATGACGATCAGACTGGAGACAGTGGAATGGGAACTGGGTCTGACGATCCGTGGGATGTTCGAAGTTTCCCTTTTCATCGAAATGGTAATGCATTTGATTATGCTGATTCTTAAAGTAGAGTTAAGTAACCAGTGTACTGGCAAAGTGAAACCCTCCAGTGGCTGTGCTTTAGATATCTTTTTTCGGCTACCAGTCAGGATGACAGAGAATGATGATGAGACCGCAGACATGAGAACTGGTGTTCCCCCCTTTCGTCCCATTCGTCGGATAAGAGGTGGACGAACAGATGTATCTTCAGATAAAGGTAATACAAGCAAGTGTACGCGATGATTTTCCTTTATGTAGAACAGTGTGATATGACTACAGTACACATAATGCATTATGCTGTAAGAAAGTCTAGTGCCTATTATGTAATTGTGCTGGCTTTGTTGGTGATTGATGTGGTGTGGTATATACTACTGATTATGGTGTGGCTGAGTCCGACACCCTTCCAATAGTTCATACTTCTTTTAGTAGTAGTTTGGAAGAGCGAGTTCTTGGACAGCAGTAAAACAGTATGTACTTGCTGAGCATGTTCATGCATGCCAGAATGCAGCTAAGCTTACTGGGCACTACGCAAGGAAGTGCATAACAATGGCACACATGGACAACACTGGAAGGGGAATGTCATTTCATAATCCATAGTGGGGGTTATTACATGTTTTTCCAGGAACATTTCATTTACTCTCCATACAGGTGTATACACTTCTTTAAAAACAGACGAAGTGACAGTAAATACATATACAACTCCCTTCGATCTGAACAGGCGTTTAGGTGCTTCCAATCCCTCTATGGAAACAAGTAAGTCCACGACAGCACTAGGACAGAACTGGCGCAGTCTTACGATTGTGATTTCACTTGGCACAGACTTAAACAGATTCGTGCTATTGGAAGTGGTTAAGGTTCTTGAATCATCCAAGGTGCAGGAGACGATATTAGCACAGAAAGTTAAGGCAATGTTATTTCAGAACATTCCTCCAACAACAGAAGTCAACGAACCATTTTTGACCATGTAAGTTAAGCTCTTTATAATAGTGGTAATATGGATTATGGTGATGGTATGAAGCAAAGCTGAATGGCAGATTTTTAACCACTAATATATACCACATCAAAAATGTACTACCACAATACTGATCATAGCAACACTTCAAGGTACTTGCTGATCCAACATGTATTAGTTAACGTATAGGCGGCGAGGCGGTACAGGAGATACTCCGAGGCTGTTGACTATACCGGACGAGGGCGTAGCCCGAGGCGCGGTATAGTTAACAGCCGAGGAGGATTTCCTGTACCCGCCAAGACGCCTGACGTTAACTGATTTGTAGTCCAACTAGCCAATCACAATGCTGAATTTCTGCTGCGTCATCTTGCACTAATGTACTAATGACTGTTGTGTAAACTTTGGAAGCCAGACAATTTGCACTACGCCTAGCGCTAGATGTTGTGATAAGGACTTCCTGTCCAATACTGATACCGGTGCAGCCCGCAGCCCACAGCTCAGAATACAGCGTATATTCCTAGCACCGGGTTGTTTGAAGTTGGACTACAAAAACCTATAATGCTCAACTGATTGGTGTGCAGCATACACAATGGAAACCTGTCACATTATTATTTATGATCCAATAGATTTACTTACCTAGGTGTCGTGCACACACAGGAAGGTGTGCGAACATGATGCAGCGTACTTAAAGGAAACACGTGGCGGTAGATAAGGGCCAAATTTAAAAGTGTTACTAAAGATAGAACTAATTATCATAAACAATGCAAGAATGCAATTAGTCTATTTTTCAGTAACAATTTCTAAATTTAGCCCTTATATTATACTGAAAACCCATGATTGCTTGCCATTATTCTTTTTCTATAGTGAATGTGGCAAGTACAAGACAGTGGATGTGGATAGAAATGGTGCAGAAAGGTAATTCTATAACCATCTCGAAAACAATAATAATGAAAGTGCAAACCCTCGGCGAACTGCGGTACCACTAATTGATGGGCTGGGCTTTTTATGCCTTTACTCGTGGTATCCCGCTAGTAGCTCGCGGAGAGTCTGACACGGGCTAGCTACAGTAGTAAATAGCATGCGGGAGTCGATACATGCCCTTCGTTGTGACTTGTTGTGCTTTCAAGACACACAGAGCGAACGGACGCGGTCGGGGTAAGCCTGTGCTAATTTACATATTGGCTTGTTCACTTGGTTTTCACGCCATAACTTTAAAACACAGTAGTTTTACGAAAATCGCCTTTTTTAAATCAACCCAGTGTAGCACTGAACCCATGCGCGCCGAGGGTTAATAATATAATGTGAAGCCTCTATTAGTTTGAGTTTGGTTTCACTAAAATAGATTGTTGGGGAATGATGATTGTAGCGAGGGAGCGTTCCTGATTCGTGATGGGCAGAATGCAAGATGTGAGAGGGTTCTTAGTGTGAGACTAGTCGAAAAGGAAGTCGGCCATTTTCGTATATACAAAGATCAGGTAAACTGTGAATTAAAATTCTTCCATAGAGAACGATTTTTCTCTCCTACAGGGTTCAAGATATTTTTTGCATGGGACGTCAAAATTTGAATCTCTAGATGAATTAATTGACAATTACAAAGAAGAGGGTGACATGCATATAACTTGTAACAAAAGAGATTTCAAACTAGGTTCACCTGTGCACATTTGAATTCTATCGTGCACATTTGAATTCTATCTAGTATCTAGTCAAACAGTAAACTACCAGTGTGTAATAATTATTACAGGACTTTGTATGTATCATCACAACTGCAGCATGCTTGCCAGTACACCTCTATTCAGAGAGGCAGGCAACAAGAGTCTATATAGGCCTTACTTCACAGGGAAGACAAATCCTTTTCCACACCTCCAAGAGAGCCGGAAATCTGGAAATTTCACCTGAAGCCTTACAAATGACGGGGCAGGGAAAGCCGACTTTGGACATGTCTTCTTCCCTCACTCCATTAGAAACTCACGACAAGTCATGGACTCTATGGCCCGAGTGCTCTCTTCCGCTACATAATAATAGAGTACATGAGGTATAATCCATTCCACTACTGAGTGCATCACATGCATTAGGTCATTCTAGATGTGATGACATATGCACTTATCAGGTTCTCACTTCTCAGGCTTTCATACAAGTTCAGGGGCAAATGGTGAAGAAAGAATGGGCTCATGTGTTGGGTGGACGGGGAGTTCCAGCTATATACATGCACACACAGTTCTTGTGAAAGTTGACACATCTGTGTCAGTTATTACAGCTATGTATCTTTTGCCAGTTTTCTGCAAACATTAGACGAAAGACAGACGAAAGTTTGATAGCTAAAGAAACTTTCAATGGTGTCTCGTAAGATTTTTCCGCCATCGCTGCCGCGCACCGCGTAAACGACGCGCGCACACGTGACGCACGACGCCTATATGTCGGAGGCACGTGGCATGGACACCGGCTACTCCACTGGCCGCGCAAATCTTTACCGTGATAGGTCCTCCGCCTTGATGACATCTACAGAAATCAGTCGTCTGTCCTGCCCTAACTGTAAGAAGATTCTGAGGGATCCCCGACAAGTCACCGTGTGCGGTTGTCGGTTCTGTGCTGGCTGCATTGATCAGAGACCAGCGCAGGGATGCAGGTAGGTAATGCATGAAATTATAGTTCATAGCATGTCATTCTCGCTTCGCTGCATGCCGTAGCTGAATGTCATGCGCGTATATACCAGTGCATGCGCGCATTGCGTAGCTATTTTCAGTGTTTGTTCATGGCGGGCCATTGGACAATGGGGAAGCTACATAACCACTCAATATTGTTTTATACACAGTGCTGAAAGTGTTTTCACATGTGCTGTTGATGGAGCAAAGTACAAGAGGAGAGATGTAAGCAACAATGATGTCAAGGGATGAGGCTCGTTTGCTGTAAGGGCCTTACATCCCATTCATACGCACCACCATAATTATAGTAGGCCTGCAAAAATTAATTATTAGCAGGTCATGGTAGTACAATGCCTCATGCATGACCGCAAACCACGTTCAATAATTCCCATAGTATACGATGCTTTGACTGGTTTGTAGCAAGGTTTCCAGCGAATGGTAGGGCTCTCACGTGTCCATGGATCAGCGAACACTCAATTGCCACCCGAGCTCAAGGTGACTTTTGTAGCTCGTAGGACAGCCGCGCGAGACCGTTCAATATTATCTAGTGCACGGCAACTGATCGTCCACGCATCATGCTACAATGGGTAAGCACCAAAGTAATAAGCAGCTTTCATAATTATTCTTTGGGCTTTATTGTTACCTATCTTCTTAATAACCTTCTCAGGTTCGTAAGGACACGGGGTTGTCAAAGGCGAGATAGAGTCTCTAGAGGTGTGACTGCCCTACTCAACCACGTCCTTGTTTGTGGAGAGGCAAACTCACTGATATGGAGGTACTTACTGGTCTTGGAACATGTTACCCTAGCAATTAACACATTATAGGGTATGATTTATTGGCTAGTAGCAGCACCACAGCAGGCTGGAGATGGCATCCAGCTATACAAGTCATGTAAAGTATAGTTTTGATCATGCTCTGCACTCATAGCGTATGGCTGCCATGATCAAACCTATACATAGAACATCCATTAACGTAATAGCAAGAATAGTAGCTAGGCTGTACCTGCAAAGATACTGTCCATTTGGTTGAAAGTGTACAACAAAAACCAGTTGACAAGGTAAGATATTTGAAATTATGAACTTGCATTCCTACCTTGGTTGGCAATTGCTATCATGTGACTGTAGCATCATGTGTCGGAGGAGTGTCCCAAAAGACTGAGGGAGTGTGATCTCACGTGTGGAAGGGCAAGTATCTGGCAGAGAGTTGGAACAGCACATGGCCAGAGATTGTAACAGACGACCAGTCCCTGCCAGTACTGCAAGCATCACTGCCAATGAAAGACTTACAGGTATAGTTGCTGACTTTTTGGGACCGAGGACGCATATTATTATGTGTGCCATACATAATGTATGCTCATTCAGTTCCAACAACATTGGATAAATATGCTTTGCAATGACTAAGTATGCTGGCTTGCTTGCCAAGTTGCTGGAGTCGAACCTTTCATTGTGATTGATACAAGTAAACTGTTACAGTACTATTAGCAGCTTGTGTATAGGAAGTATCATTTTCACACAACAGGATCATTACATGGGTTGTGAACAGGCTCCTGGAGTGTGCACCCACTGCAAACAAACTTGAAGTCAAAAACTGAGGTATGCTTCTGTAGCAAGCTGAGCACCTTCCAGAAGCCT